CTTTCAGCTTTGATGGCGGTGGGGGGGGGGGGGGGGGGAGCAGCAGGTGTCTAAGTACAAGCTCCACTGAAAGGGGCAAAGATTAGCATGACCGGAGAATTCGACGGCTAGATACCCCTGCGAGCTTAAATGCCGGAGATCGGCCTTAACGAGCGACAGAGGGGATAATTAAAGGCATGCAGCAGCACTTGTGAAGGCATCCTCTCTCATTTGAGTCAAGCGCACTGCTCTCCGGGGGACGGGAGGCAGAGAGGGACAGCAATTACAGTCAGGGTAATAACGGGTCAGAGGATGCAGGACCGGTGGGGGAGAGGTTCTAATCACGGGCCCCTTAAACACATTCCTGCGCGTTTATTTGTGTAAGCGTAGCATTATACAACAGAACAATCTGTGGCTTTCTTAGACAGCGGTGTATAATCTGTCTCTGTGCCCTCCGATTTCAGCTACTTTCACACTGAACTTCTAGGCAAAGACACACAAGGAGCCTTTTACGTTATTATTTGTTTAGCAGACACTTTTATCCAAATTGATGTACGTTTTGTTTCAAGCAAGCCAGGTCAGTCAATCCCGGGGGCAGCTGCCGTTGTGGGCCCAATGATGACATCACTCTGCTGACTGAGATTTGAAGCAGTGACATTCCGATCATAAGCACAGGCCAAACCAATCACAGATAAGCATTCGTTCTGCGCAGCTCCAGCACATTCTGCAAGGCTGTCAACTTCGGTCAGCTGGCTGGAGTGAAATGTTCCATTTGAGACACGTCTGCACACGTCTGCACACGCATTCACATATATTCACATATATATTACATGTTTTAGGACCTTGCAAATAGTCTGTAGAGTTTGCAAGCTGCCCCAGTGCTTTAGACGTAGCTAATTAAGAACATAAGAACATTTTAGGTTTATAACATAATAATATAGATTTGCTGCAAGACTTCTTGGGTCAGCATGAGAGTCTGAAAGCGACAGTGTCACGCCAGTTACGTGACAGTTGGCATTCCGCCCTTGCAGCCATTTTTCTTTTCGAGTAAAAGCTTCAGTGTTGCTGTTTGGCCATAAGTAGCCGTTTCAGGTCTGTGCTTCCTTTTTCTGTGGCTACCTGCCATTGTGTTGACCCACCTTGCATCAAAATCTGCAGTAATAAATGATGTGGTCCTGAGTCAAAGCAGGATACGGCAACGCAAAGCATGAGCACGCAGGTCAGCACAGTGAGATGTGGCTTCCAGGCGAACACCCACGCTAATCTCATCGCCGCTAATCTCTCTGCAGTGACAGTAACTGCTGCGATCCATGTTATTATTTTAGCTCATAATAATGCTGTACAGGCAATGATTTGCAGGCATTTTGTACCTAATATTTATTTGCTTGTTCGCTTGCTTAGCAGACTGTGATACTAAGTGCTACTTCACCTCTCTTTCTGTATCGTCCAGTGCTTAGCAGAGCGAAGTACAAGCAAGTCGAAGTCAGCTGCATCACTGCAGCTGCAAACAACTGGCACCCGCGTCGCCGGCAGCTGGCCCAGGCAGGCGGGCGAAGGTGACCACCTTGGCATCAGGCACAAAAAGGCAAACTGTCTTCACATACTGCAGCTTTCACTTCTTCTGTCTTACTGTACCTACTTTGTTTTCAGGGGGGATTCTGGGTAATAATTTACAATATGACTCTGTGGTCTGGTTTCTGATTACCTGGACTGCAACTCATAATATTTCTCCATGCAGCTGTCTGCTGCCCTCTACTGGACAGAGACTCTATGTGCGCCCTACTAGCTTTGATTTACTGGTTTGTGATTTCACTCTTTGACTAGGACGCCTTCACATGCCTTTCGGGGTTCAGAAGATCACGTGTCCCGAACCACAAAATGCCAGCTGTACTTTCATACTCTCCTTAAGACCCCAAACGTCATCGGCCGGCAGAGCGAAGCAGGAGGGAGATTCCCTTTGTAGATCCCACACTTCCCAAACATGCCCACGGTCATTATACTAATGGGCGCAGCTAAAGATAGCGCAGAAAGACGGGAGGGTATCTCATTAGCTCACTGGGCACTTGCCAACAAGGCTGAATACCCTCATTAGGGCTGCTAAAATGTCCAAGAGGAAGCCTTCAAGATAACCATAAATCAAAGATCAGTTCTGGAACAGTTCTGTAATTATTATCAAGAGTTTTGCTCATCTGTGTTCAGTGACTGTGTTGACCTATATTATAATACACTGTATTTCAGTTCAGAAGAGCTGAGTATTGTCCTACTGACATGCAAAGCTGTGGACTCACTTCTGAACCGTCTAAAATGCATGCTGCTAAACCACCAGTTTTGAGGCTGGAGAGAAGCCAGGAGGGCTGTCTGAGAGCGTCTAGGTGCTTTTCACCCAGTACTGCTTCTCACTGCTGACTCCACACTTCCCACCGGCATTGGAACACATCACATGACCATTTCTGGTCATGTGATGTGTTCCATGTGACGTATGTTCTGAACAAGCCACTGTTTGTCTCTGGTAAGCTGAAGCTCCGTGCGTTTAGCTGTGCAGCAATCGAGTGAAACCCAATGTGTCACACTGAAACTAGTTTAGCGATTAAAAAAATAAAAACACTTTGGAAACTATGAACAAGCCACAGTTTACCTGAGTAAGCACTTATCAACAAAATATGCATATTTCTATTCACCACAGAAAGTTTATTTTTTCAGTAGCAGGAAGGGGTGGGACAACAGACACAGACCTCCTGTCCTGGGGGGGCACTGTCCATCACTGACCACTCTGGCCACATGGTACGCTGCTTAGGAAGCCATCCATCATCAAACCACTTCAGCTCAGAGTCACGACAGTGGGATTCAAACCCTCCTCCCTGGAGGTGTGAGGTCACTGTGCCACCCTACTTAGGAAGCCATAAATAATATGGACATTCAGCTAAATATAACGCCATGGCATTTATCGCCACAGAGGAAATTCCATTTCTGGAAGCTTGACCATGGACTGTATTTTAGGGTGTATTACTGTAGAGATGTGCTACCAAGTTCAGTTCCGTGCAAAAGTCTTAGGCCACTAAAGAACTCATGTTTAAAGTCATTTACCCGTTCAGTAAGTGCATAGCTTTTCAGGAAAAAAAAACACAGTAACATCAGAATATCTGTGAATAAACAATAATACAACCAAAAGTAAAAAAATGCTCTAAGCCCCTTATCAGAGGTACCCCAGCTACACTGTGTGTTTGTTACATTTCACAACCAGCTCACTTTATTACCCTAATTACCTAATGACCTTCGTGATTAGACAAGCAAGGTCTGCTGGTGATCCGCATGGGTAACCGCATGGGTAACCGCAAACTCAACATGCGGGCTTCTTGCGAAATGGCTGAGCTGACAATGAGACATAAGATTCTAATGTTACGGCAACACAAACGTTGTTGTCTTTAAAATAAGGATAGCATGAATTACACTGAAAACTTCTCGCACCAAGAATAAACTTTGCTTCTACTCTCAAATCACATGAGGTCTGTTTGAAAACCATCCTGAAAAGTCAGCACTTATAAAGACTTAAATCTGAACAAGTACTTCGCTATTGCCTGCACCGCATCTAAATGAAACAGTCACCGTACCGTCGTACGTATGTCTCTTTTCAGCAGTTAACTGCGAGTCTGGATGACAAACCGCTACTGTCTTTTCGCTTAATGGTACCAGTAAACAAGGAGAAAGATCAACAACAGGCTGAAATAGCGGGTAGACAGTCACACTCTGACCGAAAGAGGATGAATTCCGGTGACTTACTCAGTCCACTTGGCTGCAGATTTGATCTTTATGCTGAAAGGAGGTGCTTTCAAATCCATTGACCTATTGAGTCTATTAAGAAAACTCTGCAGAATGGAGACATTTTCTCCTATAGTTTGAATCAAGGCATTAGATGTATCTCTCCTTGTTGTACGCACACACATACACACACACACACATACACACACACACACACACATACACACGCACACGGCGCTGATTCACATTTAGAGTGAACAAAGTGACTGGTTTATAAGAACTAAAAATAGGGCCCTTGAGCCACCAATTAGATCACAAAATGAAAGCAGAAGTGTCCTGTTTTCAAGTTTAAGTTCCTCTTTCTCTCTTGTTTGTCTCAGTTCTCGTGTCTCTGCCTCTCACTTTGCCTGGCAGACGGTTTGGGAAATGAGCACCGGCATGTTATAGAAGCAGAGCCCAAACTGGTGCATTTTAATGTCTGTTCAGAAGCCACGGTTCCAGACCCAAACACAAACCCACACTTAGCATTTGCACAGTGAAAAATAAGTGTCAAAATTTTTGTTTCAAATTTGCTAATAAATCAACTACTTGTACGGTTTCATCGAGCTTGACGGTCCTTGACGGACAGTCTGCGCGAGATGAGTTTGCATGGTGGGACTTTCAGCCTGACGCTGACTGCAACTGACACACTTTAGTGTTAAAGAGAGAGTGTTAGAGTTACAGAGTCCTCAGATGCACTGAGCAGCATCTCTTGTGGATCATTATAGGCCAGTTAGAAGAAGATGAATTACAGGAGCAATCAAACAGACTGAGAAAAAGCCTCAGAACATTGCAGCAGAATACTAATGCAATACGGATCATTAGAATATGCATGGAAAAGATGCAAATTACAGAAGATGGATCCAAATACAACAAAAGGTGTTCCTGAAGTCCAGGACCAGCATCACAAACCTGCAGCTCAGCTCATGCTGGTGTGGCTCCAGCCCAGCCAGTCCAGGAGACCCTTTTGGGGAGGGGAGGGGGCTGAGTGTGATCCCCTGCAGTGCCCCCTGCCTGAGCCAGGCGATCAGCGGAGCGCGGCACGCGTGGAACTCACGGCTCAGTCCCGCGCCCGCTACCCTGCTCTGCCCGTCCGAAGGGGGCGGCCGTCGGCATCGCTTTGTCGGTAGCTCCGAGTCGCTCTCCGGAAGCTTCTTGCAGGATACGGATGGGGGTGCGGGGGGGGCTCGTTGCCGAGAAACAAAGACATCAGCGGCTGTCTAGACTGCAGCCTCGCGTGGGGTGTCAGCGGCGTTTGTGAGCGTGCAGCCGGGGCGGGGGGGGGCAGGGTGTGGCCAGGAGTGGGTGGTCGGGGGGGGGGGCGGATGTGTCACTGTCGCAGCCAGACTGCTCGTGCCCCCCAGGCACACGATGCCCCCTTTCTGTCTCCCCAGTAATGACAAATACCGAGCTTCCACAAAGGGGTGCTTGTGCCAGCAGTACCCCGAGGGTGGTTTTGGAAGGGGGGGTCCTTTCAGCTTTGATGGCGGTGGGGGGGGGGGGGGTGGATTTCAGCTCCGCCATCTGTGTGGGGACCATCTCAGTCACTAAGTGCCCCCTGAAAGGAGACGTCAGATGGGGCTCTTTGGACGAAAGAGGCGAGGTAAAAACTCGCTCGAAAAACTGTTTTGTCTCCCATCCTGAGAACAAAGGCGGCCGAGGTGGAGCGAGACCCTGGCACATCGCGTCGGCTTGGCAGCCTTCATCGCTAATTACCCACAAACCCCCAGGGATCCTGTATCATTCCTCCAACTTCTCTTGTCTTCCTTTTCAATTTAAACTGTTAACGTTCAGGATTAAGAGTCACGCAGGTGCTGGGCTCCTCAAATGGACCTGTGAGAAGCCCTTTCTTTCGAAAAGGAATTTATTTCTACCCAATTTCCAACAACCGCCCCCCCCCCTCAAAAAGAGATGGTTCCTTTTGCAGCATTATCCCACAGGTTAGTGATTCTGCTGGGCCCCCGCAAATGAACCACTAGATAGATAATGTCCCAGCATGCAATGGGTGTATGAACCGGTGTGACACTAAAAACACAACTGAGAATGAGAAGGAAAAATGGAAGATACCATTTAAAAGCCACTGGACATTAGGTGCTTCAGACCCATAGTGATGTAAGTCAGTCTCGTCTAATTCTAACCCACATTCTGAGCAGGATCTGATTTGTCTTCCCTGACCCCTGCCCACCCCCCAGGGCTCTGTTCTGCTTGTGCCCCATGTTACCCAGCAGGTAGCTGATTGTTCGCAGCCATGCACAAAGAGGCCCTCTGATTTGCTACCAGCACAGCTGAGTCCCCCTGCTGGACAAACCTAAGCATTACGTGCCATGATGTTACTTTGTACAGCTAGCAGTTGTATCAAGTGTGAATCCTCTCCAAGTAAATCAAACACAATTAATATCAATGCTTTTACATTTCATGAGAATAATGTGCTCTGCGTGTCCTTTGATCCTATCTGTGCTGTCCAGTATTGTGTGCAGTCCACACATTCAGAGGTACTAAATCTCTGCAGAGGTAATTTGTCAGTGAGGATTCACTGAAATGAGAAAACAATTGAATTAATCCCTGAGGCCTTTAGCCTCATATGGTCATATCATTATTAAGATACTTTTCGCATGTAACTGTGTTGCTGTTTAGCTGAAGAATTACAGAATAAGAATCAGTTTTATTACATATGCTTGTATGAGGAATCTGGCACTATATGTCAGTGCAGTCACAAGAATTGAAAAATTTAAACTGGGCGATAATCATAAGCTGTACAAAAAAGCAGTACAAGCAAAGGACAATATAGAAATATGACGGTCTAATTTCTTCTTCTATTATGGGAGAAATGCAGAACTTATGTTGGTATTTCGGTGACATGTGAGACAGCAGCCAAACTCTGGACTGTTCTGCTCCAATAACCAGGAGGGAGAGAGAGAAAGAGAAATAGAGAGATTGGCCCAGTTACATTGGGAACCCCTCCCTTCTATTCTGGGAGAAATGCAGAATTTATGTTGGTATTTCGGTGACATGTGAGACAGCAGCCAAACTCTGGACTGTTCTGCTCCAATAACCAGGAGGGAGAGAGAGAAAGAGATATAGAGAGACTGGCCCAGTTACATTGGGAAACCCCCCCACAGTGTCTTCTTCCGAGGGTCTAGGGGAGCGGAGCCTGACGGGTGGGTTGTTTGAGGACATCACACCAGTAGTGTGTTGTATTTTCTGAATACAACACACTTCAAACCTTGGACTCATTAATAGTCTGCCGTTTTGCCGAAGCCCGAGGTCCAGCATTTAAATGCGCTATTGTTATATACAAAATAGCTGGCAGTCTCGTTATTAGCTAACTAAAAACCCAATGACGTTAGCTTAACATCCTACGTTAACCATCAATCCTCTGGCCTGTGTGAGTCAGTAGATGGTATCTCCTATTGCTTTAGGCTTTTACGTATAAACATCAAGGATTCTCGATGTTTAGGAGATTTGCGGTCCCCTCTGATAATCGTTGCATTTTGTCTTACCGTGTCTGTTCGCGACGATACAATATATGACCACAGGGGGGCAATAGAGGGCAGTTAATGAGCACCCCGAGTTCTACTCACAATGAACAAAAACGATGTCACAACTGGCTGGAGAGAAAGGGGATGTCTCATATAAAATAATATGGTACTTAGTGTTTTCAAGCATGGCACAGGCGCTTTTTATAGTTTTTATGTCTTTAATCTTTTTGTTGCTTTCTTGGCAGTAGTTTGTCCTAAACTACATAGCTGTGTAGTTTTAGCTAATTTACTCTTCAGTCGTCTTACTCAAGGGGACAAGAACAGTCTTTCCTGTCCTCAAATAAAACAAAGTAACTCTTGCATGCACCAGAATACCAGATTTTTTTGAGTTGTGAAAATTCTCAACCATCTTGATAATCGGAACTGCTTCAAATGTATTTCCGCTATTTTAAGGTCATTCTTTGTTCACTATTCCCATAAGAAGGCGGGAGTCTTGTTTCACAAATTTCAGTGATTCTTAAAGGTGATTCTGTCAAAAAAAAATCGTACAGGGTTTAATCCGTGTCCAACATAAATAGCATCTATATGAGGTTTCTAGCCATATTGTGGCTAACAGAGGGACATGGTCAGTGTTATGACCGCTGTCCGGCGAGCAGGCAGGACGTGGGTAAGGACGAGGCAGGCAGGCGAAGATCCAGGACACAAGGGTTTATTTCGGGGAAACCAGGGAAACCACAGAGCAACGACAGACTAACATTAATGACGGATCTGGGGGAAACGGACTCAGACGCGGACTAAATACACAGAACATATCAGACTGATGGAAAACAGATGGGCACAATCGGGGGAGCACACGTGGTTGATCAGGGGGCGTGGCACACACGAGGATCGTACGCGCAGGTCATGACAGACTGTGGTGATTTGCAAGGACAGATATGACAGTAAATGTGAGCGTCCGCATCCGGTTACAGCAGAGCCTATAGCTCAGGTACCATCATAACGAAAGTTAAAAAATCAATATCCACTTATGTTGTCCTACATTCATATATTTATATATGACATATTGAGCTTTGTTGTGATCTTTCCAAATATAGTTTCCTATGCGCAGACAGAATGCATATATTCATTGCCAGTGTGATTTAGGAATTTGGGGGGGGGGCACAAATGAGGGGGGGAAACACACTACCAGTCAAAAGTTTCTGCGTGCCACAGGTTTTGAACACTTTTCCATTTATTTCATAAACTGCAGATTTTTTTTATTCTTGTTAAGCTTCGGAAAGTTGAGTCAGCAACTAGAAATGAAAATATAAGTCAAATAAAACAAGTTTCCTTTATAACAATGAAAGAGTATGTAACAGCGCATGTCTGACATCCTATTAACTGGTTGTGTGGTGATGGCAGAGTCAAATTCTAGGCCGTCCTTTAACTTTAAATGCACTCGTTAACTGTCTCATCCATTACAGTGAGTAACATGCAAATGTAGAAAATCTCAGTGTGTGCAAAAAAGTTTGACTGGTGGTGTATTTTGCTTTCAATTGCAACCGTCAGAAACACTAACAATAACATAAACACATTAAATGCCTGTAGACCTTACATGACGTCAATAAATTTAAATAATGGAAATGTGTACAATTGACAGGTGCCATCAATCGAATACATTGCCCTGTTATGACTGGTAACGCCACGGAAGCCGTAATAAAGCTCCTCAGTTAATGGTTACATACTTGGAGGAACCAGGGAGAAATTTCTAGCTGCCAGCAGCGTTAAAAGAAGATGTGATGATGGCAAAGGAAACACCTAAAGTGAGCAGAAGCAGAAAATATCATGACACATATCTGGAACACTGTTTTGCCTGTGTTTGTGTGTGTGTGTTTGGGGGGTGGGGGGGTGGGGGGAGATGGTGATCAGGAGCAATATAACCACCCTAAGGGGGCCTTGCCAAAAAATGTTTAAATACCACTGCATTACACATGCGCTACGTGAAAGAGCTGTACTTAGTGTTATTTATATAGCACTTTTAACAAAGAGCACTGACCTTTTCCAGAGCCCAGGGCCCATCAGGAGGGTCCAGACCCCAGCAGGAAGCCCATCTTCCACCGGGCAGAACATCTTTGCCTCATCATTCCGCTTCTGGAACTGAACCGACTTGATTTCATTTCATTTACTGAGTAATAAGGAAATCAGCACTGAATTCTGGGTATGAAAAGCTGATTTCAGTTTTAAAATTCAGTCTTCTCTATTTGCCTTTTCTACATCAGTACATAGGAATCCTTCCTTGTGCCAGTCAGTCAGTGACATGTGACAGAACAAAGACATTCACAAAACAGCGAAGCAGACATATAACTAGGAACTACATGGAATAAATATTAAATAAATATCAGAAACGGCGGCTTTATGGAGCGTTCAAAGGCTAAGCACTCGCTCCTGGGCTTCCAGAGCGACCGTGAAAAGAGCACTCTCTGTAATTTATGAATCGCGTGTATTTGACCTTTCATTTCATGTGTGCAATTTATGTGGCATAACAGATGGTTTGGAAGTTTCCCATTAAAACTGAGGGACGGCTTATTTATCAGTCTCTGGTCTACAACTGAGCTCAGCGTCTGCGTCTTTAGTGACATGGAAGGTCACAAGGTCACAGCGTCTGCCTGGAAATCCAGATGCGATTTATGGTCTGATTTGAGGTGGCCATACTGGTTTGACTGGGTCAGTCAAGTGCCCACGCATGATAGTCAGCTGTAATATTAGACTCTCTCACAATAGTTCCTCCCAGTGGAGTTTCTAGCTATTGCAATGATCAAGAGCTAAGCCGAGTTTACCTGAGGCTTGACGGTTTGTTTGTTTTGTTTTTTTTTTTTGAAGGAAGATTGGCATCGGGGCTAAAATACTCAGGGCGACAGCCCCGAGTGATCAGGCCTAACGACGCCCATGGTTCTTCCCCCGAGTTTCCAGAGGACTGCCTCGCCCGGGAGGACTGCCTCGCCTGGGAGGACTGCCTCACCCAGCTATCACACTTCACAACCAGGAATTTGCCTGCAGTCTCTTCAGCACACATTAAGGTTCCCACCTGGTTCTTGTTCCTTGTTAGTTCTTCGCACTAGGACAGGATTTACATTTCAATTAAAAGGACCTGGATTTCACTTGAGCACTGAGTTCTTGATGTGTGCTGATTGGTCAGTCTCCTTTAATCATGCGTGTGCCACTAATGTTAATGTGAAACAGCTGGGTGAGTCTTTCAATCAAGGAAACAAACCAAAGCCAAAGAACTGAACTATTTAGCCAAACACGGGGGCCTTTCAGTTTTGAAGTAGCTTGTAAAACCTGAAGTAGCTCATAGTGTCCCTCCCGACATGGATTATGTGGTCACTGTAGCGTATATGGCAGCATGTACCGTATGGACACAATGCAAAGGTGCTGGAAGCTGCACCATTAAGTTGTACTATCTCTGAAAGAAATAAGTGATTTAATCCATTGTTTTGTTCAATGTTCAACTGTGGGTGAGAAAATATGCGCCCTGGTCAGAGCAGTGGGCCGGTTCTCCGGGACGCCTCCATCCTGGACAGGGGTTTTGTGCTGGAGCACCAGGAAGGGGGTGAACTTCTGGTCACTGCCTTAAACATGAAGGGGTTTTATCACAGATTTACTAACGGCCAAAAGGCACACGCTTGATTATTCTTCTTCTTCTTTTCCTCCATCTCACATTCCATTTTTTCCTCACTCCATTCCCTTCCATCCATCTTCCTTATCTTATCTCTTAAGTTCAGACCCAAACTCCCCCTGATTGTCACCCCCCCCCCATCCTTTTGCTTACTGGCCCCTCCCTCTGATTACATTTGGCCCCGCCCCCCTGCTTCAGTGCAGAGACAGCTGCAGACACCCGACCCAGTGATTAACACAGCCAGCACCTCTCTGCAGCGTTTCTGGATCTCCTGACGCTCTCTCCTCATCCGGCCGCAGCCCTTCACTCTGCTAACCACAGCAGGTACAGCATTACCCAGAATCCTTCGCTCTTCCTCGCTTGCCGCCCAGCCTGGGCTACGGAGGTAAGACGAGGCATCGCAGCAGCACAAAGTTTTCTTCTTGGTCTTTCAGTTTTCTTCACAGTTTCTGTGAGCTATGCAACCTCCTGTACTAGTGCTCTGATGTTTTAGATTGTTTTGCATTGTTCTAAAATATGACCATGAAAAACTGAAGCTCTAGAGAGGCAGGAATGTGGGGGTGGGAGGTGAGCTGTGGACAGGATCTCGTTTGTCACCGAGCTGCTGCTCTGGCTTCACTTTCCATGCCTTTGCCTCTCGGAGGCTGCCTCTGATGGTCTGTTTTCCGTGTCGCACAAGCTGAACTTCTGCTATTGTCATTTTCATTTGTGTTTCTGAGCGCCCCGTGATAGCAGCGTGAAACAGACTGTTCCTTATAGCGCTTTTCAGAGGCACGTTGCACAATTTTGTAGCGTTTCCATGGAAATGAACTGACACCCTGACTCCGTGCATGTTCAGGAATGGGCTCGCCACACCCGTGGCGTTCCTCTGTTTCATCCTGGCAAGCCTCTCCATCGTTGTGAGTCCATACGGAGTCCAAGCGAGTCAGAGTCAGAGCGCACGCAGGCATGGAGAGGACTAGCGGTGGTAGGATGGACCGATGCTGTCTGGACTTGTTCAGCCCAAGGCTGAAGTGAAATCGAGCCACCAAGGGGTGTAACTGGGCTCAGTGTAACTTAGGTGGTGTGAGAAGTATTTTAAAGAACCTTACTGCTGTAGGACAATGTTTCCCAATGTTTGACCCTCAGACAGTCCACCTTTAGCAAAAATGTGGTCAGTCTGGCAGGGAGCTCGGAGGGAGCAAAAACGTGGACCGATTGTGGGTCCCAGAGGACCGGATTTGGAAACACTGCTGTAGAAAGATCCACAGATCTTAAGTTTCTCATTCACATGCCGACCGTGTTTAGCACGTTAAAGAGCGGCAAAGGTGACATTTCTAAAGCAGACTTACAAAGGCAAGACAGCTGGTGACCTTGAGACAGAGTGGAGTAGCTCACGCCCACAGTCTTGTAAACAGGACTGGAGTTGTCAGTTCCTGCTTGTGCACCAGAATGAAGAATTAATGTTTTTTTGTTTTTCCAACAGTCAGATGAAACCAAATGATGACCTAAAAGCTATACTGTGCTGCGAAGCAGTGTGTACTGACTGTTAAATGGTAAACGTTAGGTTAAGTGTGGCTTAGGGTGTGACATTACTCATTTATAGTGATGCAATCACCTGGCAGAAATGGGTTAATGATGATGGAACCTGAATCTGTAGCTGTATCTATATCTGCATCCCTCGGCCTTCCCAGTTTTGGGGGAATGGAGAGAGGTTTCCACTAAAGGTTCAGACAAGTTCTATCTTTGAGCTTTTACAAGCTTCCACAACGCGGTATGTACTTTTATAACCAAGTCAGCACATTGGCCTTGGCTTGTTCTGGTTCTATGTTCCCCAAAAAGGCAGTGATGTGATGTCAAACTCTCAGTGATGCACCTGAAGGTTCTTGTGCTGGACTGACCCTGGATATGAGCGTTATAAGGGTAGCACTCACTTGGACACCAGCTGTTTATTAACACTGTCCTGTGAAGAAGGGAGGCAGTGTTTGTAGAGTCTTTAAATATTGAACAGCCCCATTGGATTAAGGAGCGTCTTCAGTATTTTAGATGATTACCCAGGATTAATGGAGTCTGATGCTCTTATTTTGCAAATGAAAAGCAGAAGAACAGTGCTGAGAGCTTGGCAATGTGAGTCACCCAAAGCCATACTTCAGCGTCCCCCCCCCCGTCCCCAAGTGGTCACTTATCTCTCGCAGTTGTGGAGCATAGCTTCCTGTTTGCTGCATCGCATCCGTTTGAATGGGAGGTGAACAAACGGACGCATCTGGATCAGGGAGAGTATGTAAGGCTCTTAAAAGCTTCCACAGAGGTGGAGTAGAGGTGCAATGGTGACAAATAGTGCACAAAGAGTGGTCTATTCCCCAAAACGTTCAGCCTATAAGCTGGCATCTACGAGGGTGCCCTAGACGGCAGTGAGAGCTCCAGCCCACCTCGTTACAGAGAGGTGAGGGAATGTCACTGGAAGATGATGTAAGAACCAGTAACAGAAGTCATTAGGAAGGGCTACACGCAGCTCAGGGCAGGGTCCATCATCACCCGAAGACACAAAAGCACCAACTCCCTGTTTGACCTGCATTAAACTCATATTAATCAGAATGTTTCGCTCTAGACCTCATGCTGACGAGCTTTTCTAACCCACTGCGATGTTTAGTCCATAAAAACAGAAGGGCAGCTATTAGCAGAGTACACACGCATGTAAAGAGACCGAACGACGGTGCAATGGTCACATTGTAGGTACAAAACCAGTCAAGTTTCTGCGTGCCACAGGTTTTTTTATCACTTTTCCATTTATTTCATGAACTGCAGATTTTTTTTTTATTCTTGTTAAGCTTTGGAAAGTTGAGTCCACAACTATAAATAAAAATATGGCAAATAAAACAAGTTTCCTTTATAACATGGAAAGAGTATGTAACAGTGCATGTCTGACAACCTATTAACTGGTGTGTGGTGATGGCAAGTCAAATTCTAGGCCGTCCTTTAACTTTAAATGCACTCGTTAACTGTCTCATCCATGAAACAGAGCTGCATTTAATGTCCCTTGTAGAAAGGATGCCTCAAATTTTCTCTGCTGTTATAACTGCTAGAGGAGGTTACTCTGACGAATCAATATATGACATTTTTTTGCTAATAAAGATACTCAAATGGTGAGCTTACTGTCAATTTGTTAGCAAAGCATATTGAGTGTATTTTTAGCAAATGTTAAGTGAGTAACATGCAAATGTAGAAAATCTCAGTGTGTGCAAACATGTTGGTAGTGTACCCCTTTGAGTAAATTCACATACAGTGTGCCTTGGTTTACAAAAACACCCGGCGTGCTGGGTTCTAAGGGCTGTCTAGTTTGTCTGAGAACTTTCCAGTGTGTTGGGTCCTTGGAACTAACCGGTGCTCAGATCAAGCTTCAGTTTAGACAGTGTTCTGTAACAAAAACTTCACGTCCAAGCACTAGGATGCATGAACTGCTCTATTTCTCTATCTGATAAAATGAATCGGTCCTGCTCCTGTCTGTAATGTTCAGTGCTAGCCGGCACATTCCACTCAGGTAACGTCCCAGGAGACTGTGTCCCAACGCAGCCTGAAGTCTGACAGCAGCGATGCAGGTGAGGAGACTCACTGACCTGCCTGCTGGTTCTCAGGACAGGATGCCTTTCGGAGGAGGGAACAAGTGTGGCTGCTGCCAGAAGACTGTGTACTTCGCTGAGGAAGTGGTGTGTGATGGCCGGAGCTATCACAAGTCCTGCTTCCTGTGTCGTAAGTCCGCCCCCATCACCCAGCAGCCAATCATAACTCGCACTCACGTGAGTGACATCTGCTCATAGTCCATTGAGGCCTATTATCAGAAGATATTAATACAGACACTCCTCTACTTACGAACTTTCAACTTACAAACTTTCAGACATACGAACGAAGAGGACTGTAAATTATGTTCATTGGGCTCCCGTTTCCAATTCCTCCTAGTACGACTTCTGGCCGCTACTCCCGCCGCGCAGTAGCGTAGCGTGCGTACTCCCAGGATCCTAGTTCTTTGTACTTGCGCATACCTTTAAAATGATGTTGAATAACGACTTACGAACATTTCAAGTTACAAACAGCCGTTTGGAACGTATCTCATTCGCAAGTAGAGGAGTGTCGGTACTAGTGAAATCGGTATACTAGGTATACTAATAAACGGTAACTTGCCATGATAGGTGTCTCAGGTCTTTGCTCTGGGTTTCATTTACAAACTCTCCTCTCCCTGGTCTTTAGAATGGCCTCAGACCAAAACCACAATGTTGTTGACGTGTGTCAACAAAGGCCTTAGGTCTCTTGTTGGCATGCTAACCACAAGCATTATGCAGACATTAACTCTAAGGGGCTCTTAAAACAAAATACCATGGAAGAACTTTTTTGACTTTAGGGGAAAAAACCTCACAAAAATATTCCTCCAAAAATACCTTTTTCAAAACTCCGATTTCAGAAAAGTTTATTTCCTAGAAGTGCAACTAGAGCTTGTTTTGAAGTTTTATTTAAGGGCCTTTTGTAATCGTGTCCCACCGCTAAAGGAATGCAGTGCATTTTTCCTGTTCTGGTTTTTTTTCTTCATTTTAAGGAATGTGTTCACTATTTGGAAAGGGAAGAGAAGCATTGGGCTGTTTCACAACAGGCGGAGCATGGCTGCCCATGTTTGGAGATGTAGGTCTTTAACGGGATGTGGGCTCCTCTCCTTGTAAGGGAGAATAGGTGACAGTCTGTCCGAGGGCCCAGAATGCACTAGGAATGTGGGTTTAATTGCATGCTGAGATTCCCTCAGCAGCACTGATTAGAGATCATGTGACATCAGGCAGAGCATACCAGTTAGATCTGATCTGAGATCAGTATCGCTGAGAACTGGTAAGCAAGGGCGTAACTTTGGTTTGAACATGGGGGTGAGGTCTCCACCTATTTGGGGAAAGACATGAATATTTGGGGGGTTTTATTAGCCGGTTTTGATTATATGGGGGGGGGGGGGGGGGTTACAACCCTCCCACCCCCCCTTGTAAGTTGTAAGTTACACCCATGCTGGTAGGGGTCACTGGAGATATGGGACTGAGCACAACTGTCACTGTGTTGGGATTCATTCTGACTCCCAGTGAGGAAAACAGCATCTTCAAATGGATTTGGAAGAATGTTATATTCTGGGAAGCACCTTCTTTGTATTTTATCATTTATGTTTCCCCACAATCTCGTCCTGGTCCTTTTGGGACACAAACAGTGTTTAGTAGGTTCAACAGCATTGACGTTAATCCATATACACTGAAATATGCCTCATAGGAGGCATTGTCCGTCAATCAGGAGAGATGTTCCAAAAATCAGTGGCTGGTTTTTCAGCCTCAACTTCACATGTTACAGTAATTGACCTAGGTAAAGCCATTGACCTTTCAGCAGTTTAAGGAAGCTTATTGATTTTGCATTGTAATGCAGCAAGCTTATTGGTTAAATGGAAAGCTAAATTCTGTACGTTTCATATCAAGTGTTATTTCACTACAACATGTAGAGTGTATGTTTCTGTATGTGAAAAAACAAAACTCAAGACTCATGATTTGATAAAGTGTTACTCTTCATGCAGTTCTGCTGCTTGTTGTAACTTCACAGAACTGAAATATTGTCCTTGCAAAATGTTATTTTGGAAATTCAGCTAGAGATCTATCTCCACCCCGTGAAGAGCGTCTCGCCCTTTTCAAACCTCACAGAGCGATCCCTCCGGGTCACCTGACCCATGCACTGTCCCCTGTGCTTCAGTGGTTTGCAGGAAGAACCTGGACAGCACCACGGTGACTGTGCACATGGAGGAGCTGTACTGCAAGGCCTGCTACGCCAAGAAGTTTGGGCCAAAGGGCTACGGCTACGGTGCAGGAGCCGGAACCCTGAGCATGGACACGGGCGAGGCCCTGGGCATCAAACCCCAACAGTAAGAGCAGCTCCTTACACACAGTTCACACAGCAGGTCCTGGAAGGCGATGACACGTAACTTAAAGCAACAAGAGGATTGCTGTAACTCCAGGTCCTAGAAGGTGAAGAAAATGTTGCTTAATCCAACAAAGGGACTCTTGGTCATAATGATCTTGGATTATCATCACTATTGCCAAAGAAAGTTAGCAGCTTTGAGTGTCATTGCTGTTACTGTAAGCATCTTCTTTTCTGCGTGTTGCAAAAGTATTTTGTAGGAACTTAAACTGATGCTGTGAAACGCATATAGAATCATTACAGTCTATGGGGACAATCAGGCAAATGAAACCAGTGTTACAGGTAAAATTACACTCTCAGAAACAAAAGCAGTCAGAGTTAGTCACCGACATGGTTATGCTCAGTACAGTGGACAGTGAAATGCTTGGTTATCAGAGTCCACAGGCTCTTAGCATGGAATATACTGTAAGCATAAAGAAGATCAAGGTAGGCATTAAACACTTAACGCAGACTGTAATCATATATCAGCATAAGTGATGTGCAGATCGGTAGGAAAATGACAGGAAAGCGCTGGAATTAAACGAGCTGGACAGCTGAGGGATGTCAACATTGCTGCTGCCGTCTTCACTGCATGAAGAGAAAGACAGAATTATTCTGAACTTTAATTTGATAAGGAAACTATTTTAAGTAACGGCAAGTGAGGGAACAGAGAAATAGCGATGATGATAATAAGGGAGCAGTTCACTCTGTCCCTAAGTCAGGGCTCTTCAAATCTGGACCTCAATTCCAAATCCAGGCCGTGTTTTTAATTCTCTCAGATAGTTAATTTAATCATTTCTGATTCTGATTGGACAGAGGCTTCACACCCAATTCACATGTAAAGGAAGGCTGGAAAATCAGCAGAGATCAGACCTTGAGGACTGTGATTTGAATAACCCTGCCCTAGGTATTGCTTTGCACTGATTTGATTGATTTGGCTGATATTAGTGATTTGGCTGATTTTTGCCTGATTTTGCTGATTTGGCTGATTTTTTGCCTGATTTTGCTGATTTGTCTGAAAGGCAGCATGACACATGGCCTCAGAGCTCTTTGTCATCCCGCCCCCACAGGTCTGAACCCCATCGGCCCACCAACAACCCCAACACCTCCAAGTTCGCCCAGAAGTTTGGGGGCTCGGAGGTGTGCCCGCGGTGCGGCAAGGCCGTCTACGCCGCCGAGAAGACCGTGGGCGGCGGCAGCGTGAGTGTGAAGCGGCCGCGTTGTTCGGCGGACGTGCATGAGGCCGGGGCAGAGAGGGATGTTCATGGGAGGCAGAGCAGTTTATGGGAACTGAGGGCAGAGACGGATGGTCAAGAAACAATGATTTTCAGGGGGCTATTCCGGGGGGGTCGGGTGCTGTGCCGTTCCGGAAAATGCTTTCACCGCCCGAACACGGCAGGTGGTCCCAAAGCCGTGTGCCTCCCATCACAGGCAGGAAACGCGTCAGAGGTGCTGGATTCCAGTCACATGAATCACCGTGGTTGTAACCTCTATTTCCCGAGTAAAGGGGGGGGGGGGGGTCGGCATCCTGGCTCACACGCTAGAATCCTACCCTCTGCCTCCCGCACAACGGAGGAGCGTAGCTAGTGCTGTGGAGGCCGTGTGTGGACTTTGAGTCTGTGATCAGAAGGTTGCTGGTTCAAATCCCAAGGATAGCAGAGTGATTTCATTGGGGGATTCCTGAGTGAGACCCTTAACTGCCAACTGTCTGACCTGCTTTCTCAAAAAAATGCACTTCTGATAAAAGTATCTGCTCAATAAGGTGCAAAAATGCATCTCTCCTCCGCACAGGCCTGGCACAAAGGCTGCTTCCGCTGCGCTAAGTGTGGAAAGGGCCTGGAGTCCACTACCCTGGCCGACAAGGATGGGGAGATATACTGCAAAGGTGACTGCTCCATACGGCCGTGATCCTGCACAAACAAGCCGGCTGCAACGATTAAGCAGCTCTGATCTCAGCCAGGAAATTGCCGCCGGGCCTTTTAGCTAGAGACCCTAATCACTTCATCAAATACATCCAGCACAAGATTATATCTGAACTCTGATTTATCACTTATTAATTTTTATTAATCAAAGAATAAACTGACTCTGGCTCCATTTCTGTGTCCGCAGGGTGTTACGCCAAGAACTTCGGGCCCAAGGGATTCGGCTACGGTCAGGGGGCTGGGGCTCTCGCACACGCTCAGTAGAGCGCAGGCCCCTCGACAGCGCCCCCTGTGGCCCCACTCTCTTCCCAGTGATGCCACCCACTGCATCACTGACCCCCCATCCCCCCCCCCATAGGGAAGGGACCTGAAATCCTCAATCGCTCACTTGCAGGTGAACCGCTCACGCCAGCAAATGTTTACCCAGCTAATTATTTTGTTTGTTGTTAATGGAATAAAAGCACAAAGGGGTAGCCGTAGTGTCCGTTTAGGCTATGCATGTCACGTGGATGTTAATCAAACCACTGGCTTTCCGCTACCGGCCTGGAAAGACGCCGGCAGAGCGTCGGTACCCAAACAGTGACGCATCATCAACACTATGGAGCACGGGCCTTGTGATCTTGCCTCTCCAGTTACAGGACTCTGTGATCGCTTCCAAAACAGCTTGCCACCTAACATATCCCTGCCTCCTCTTCCATCATAGAGAATCCCTCGTCCTCTTGGGCACCCAGGCTGTCTAATGCTCCATTTCTACTCATTAACAAAACTGTCAGCTTGCTCTACATCCAGAAGGGAAGACAATGGATAAATAAACTGAACTTGTGCCATATTACACGTGTGAATGGGGAGTCTCGATGCACACACGGCCCACGGCCTGCCACGGGATGTCTTTTTCTGTTTCTCCAGCTGGACACCAGTAACTGATTCGAAAGACGGCCTTGAAAATCTTGGGGGGAGGGGTTTCTCAGCTCTGCTGACGTCTCTTAGCAACCACACCAGTCCACACACACAAACGGCGACTGAGGGCGATTCACTCACACCGGCTCTCCTAGTGCGATCCATCATTATAGCCTTGACTTATCAATGAAAAGCCACACAAACTCAGCCCAGCTGAGGCGAGATGCCAGATCACGAAAACTAAAAGCGGACAGCAGTACAAAGTGAGCTAATATGGTGCCACTAAATCATCATCTTAAAAGCTTAGTTTTTAGTCTGTTCACGCTAAGAATGGCCACATACCTACAAAGAGACAGATGGGTCACATAACAGAAGAGATAAGGTCCATTGAACACTGGAATAGACACATGTACAACTCACTCACTCCATGCGGTTGAGAGACCGTCCAGTAACCTCTGACAACTAAAAGCATTACATAGCGGTGTTGTGAAATAGTAACCAGACTGGAAGGCCATCTGCCAAATCCCCCATTACTAACTGGCTCTGACAATTACCCCCGTTTGCCAAAAGTAGTAAAATCGTTTTCCTGCAAGCAGACCAAAGACCGAGTAAAGAGACTGTGTGCGTTTCCAGTGGATAACTACATTGAGCTCCAAGAATCCACTATCCAGGTGTCTTCGACAAGCAGAAGGATACTTATTTTATTAGCCAATCAGCTTAATGGGCCGTTGATGCAAAAACGTTACCTATGCATTGTGGGATTTTTCCATCTGCCTGGCCTTCTCTGATTTACTCACCCTGAATGGCTTCATTGAGACAACAGGGTGAAAATACCTTAGTTGAAACTCTATACAGTGCCCCACGCGTATTATTCAGGGTTGTCTTCACACATAAGTCATCATTACGTTTCAATGAGCCGTCTGTTCTAGGCAAGCACTTGAACAGTGTCTCTCTCACGCCCTCTAGTGGACAATTTGATGTAATTTAATGTAATTTTGCTCAGCCAAAATTTTGAGGTCAACTTTTTAATTTTCTCAGAGAACAGACTCGCGTGGTCTTAGGGTGGCGGAATTTGAAGGAGATTCGTGACTCTGGCGGCTCGGTAATCATGAGGGATTGTCTGCAGTTCGATCCGAAAGTCTGATGACAAAGCAAAGTGAACTCCCAAGACTGATGCTTGTGGGAGAACCATAACTTTTCTTTTCAGGGATACAAATTTTCCAGAGTTAAGACGGCTTAAAATTTCAAAGTAACTTACTGCACTAGATTTTTTAGTTTTGAGGAAAGTTTTTACATACCTGAAAGATAAATCATTCAAACAAAAGACAATAAGTTGGCACTTTTGATGTTAGGAATTCTTAGTATGTAAAACTAAAAAATCGAAGTTAAAAATTTGTAAATAAATTATCTGAACCAAAAATAATTAGTTGGCACAACAATAGATGGTTTTCTACAAAACTTAAGTTTGGGTTGCCCTCAAAACTCAAAAAATGTTTTTTTTAACAATGGAAAAACATTAATGAATGAACAAAGATTTTATAAGAACGTGACAATGAAAAAGGCTCACCAATAGGTCTATATACTAATATACGGTGAATTGCCTCATAAAACTACTGACAGGAGCATTTTTCAGGTCGATTTTGGATATGGCTTCCTGGATGGGACAGATTTGGTTGGGCAGTTACTGAAAATGGATGATTGTGTTACATTAACTCATCCGAAGGACCTGACACAGGCAGTGAACAGCACAGTATTATTGCTGTGTAAATTATACAGCAGAGAATGAGTCACGCGAAACACTAAGTAGCCTATTTTAAACTTTATGTAACTTTCACATGTCAGAGGCAGATGAATCTGTGTACTGTTATTTTCTATGACCTTATGAGTCAGTAAAGCTGCTCCGCTTTGGAACAGACGAGGAAATACGCGTGAGAGCCAAAAGGAGACACGCTGCCGTGGGTATTTTAATATACAGGCAATTATCGGGGAAAATTCATATTAAGGAAATAAATACATTTTTAAAGTAGGCCTAATACCAGACATTTGGTTTCACTTACTGGTCTCAACACAGCTACCCTAACACGCCATCAAACTCATTGAATCAGCTTCACGACCTGCTAAAATAGACTAATACACACAAACACTGTGTCACATGACCTTTAAAAATGAAGCAACACAAACACGTTTTTGATTGAAATTAATATTATTTTCTTTTGTTTTTGCCTGTTTTTATCGACATTACACACCTTGATATATGCTCTAAGGTTGCATTTTTCGTCTTGTTTTCCGGATTTTCAAAACCGACAAATGAATGTCCTACAGCTGACACCCTGGTAGCACTGCCGCCTCACACCGCCAGGGGTGCTGTGTGATTCATGCCCCCAGCTCCTTTGGTCTTTACACGCGCCGCTTCTGGATGTTCTGCTGTAATTCCCAAATTCAAGATCGCGTGGCTCAGGTTATAAGTCAGCCTTAGAGAGAACGTCGATCAGCAGGCGAAATTTTGATATCAATGACATATCGACTTATCCTCATATAAAATTTAGAAAATCAGTAACTTAGATAAACAGTCAAACACTGCATGATAGCACATATCAGCCTATCACACCACAGAAACGAACGCGATTCCAGCCACAGCATTTTAATTTTCATTATGTGACGGGTGACAGCTCCATTCCCTAGAACGCCATAGAGGCAGTTATAGAAAAATATATCAATCAGATCATATAGGACAAAAAAGTTGATTGTTATATGATTTCAATTCGCAGTCCATTCGATTTGTGTCCTTTTTTTTTTCTTTTTCTGAATGTACAATCATAAGCGAATTTTAAGTAAAAATGGAGTAAAGAAATAATGACTCGGATTATATTGTGATAGACTTAATGCGATAAAATTGACTACTATGAAAAATTGGCCTGATAAAATATTTGCTGACGAGGTGATATTTACCGAAGGTAACCCCCTTTAGGGTTATAAGACGTGCTGAATACCCAGGGAGGAGGTTGGAAAGGTTGAGAAACTGTGACCTAGGCTGACCATGAAATACTATTGGATAACGTGGTTATGGGAGATGAATGGATGGACTGATGGATTTCTTCCTTGCCAATATTCGTTATAACTATAGGCCTATGTATCATTATATAGGTAAGTATATAAGGACAAAATTGTAAATTATTAAACAGATGAACGCATTCTTCAGTCACATTCTCCCGTTCAGCTCCCTGGTATACAAAGGAACTCTGGACAATGAAGACAGCTGGGCATGCACTACAGCCGCATTACAGAGCCTCTGGCCTTATTGTGCACAAGCTAGCCTATCGAGAACACCAAAAGGCTTACTCAAAGTCGTTTAGAAAGGCATGGTCAAAATTCTACTCCAACATCATCAGAGATAGTCCAGGAAATTCCAAACAACTGTTCTCCACTATAAACCATCTACTCAAACCACAATCACACCCACCCCTGCTTATGGAAGCTACTGAGGAGCACTGCAATAAGTTCATGGTCTTCTTCAAAACTACAATAGCATCAATTCATTCCTCTCTCTCCTGTACCATTACTTGACCTGACCCATCTACTCATACAATATTTGAGATTTTTCAACCACTCGACTGCTTTCCCAAAGTTTTGCAGCAACAAGTTGAAGATGTCGTTAGGAAGATGAAACCTTCCACCTGTATCCTGGACCCCTTTCCTACAGTACTGGTGAAAGGCAACATTCCAGCCATAAGCCCCCTTGTCACCTCCGTAATAAACCGCTCTCTCCAAACCAGCACCGTTCCACCTGCTTTACAGATGGCGTTAGATTGACCACATCTCAAAATACCTCAGGGCAGCCCAATGCGCCTCGCCTATAGAATGCCCTTCCTGACGCTCTCAGGGCACCCCAAAGCGCCTCGCTTATGGAATGCCCTTCCTGACGCTNCCCAAAGCGCCTCGCTTATGGAATGCCCTTCCTGACGCTCTGAGGGCAGCCCAATGCGCCTCGCCTATGGAATGCCCTTCCTGACGCTCTCAGGGCAGCCCAAAGCGCCTCGCCTATGGAATGCCCTTCCTGACGCTCTCAGGGCAGCCCAATGCGCCTCGCCTATGGAATGCCCTTCCTGACGCTCTGAGGGCAGCCCAAAGCGCCTCGCCTATGGAATGCCCTTCCTGACGCTCTCAGGGCAGCCGAATCTACTGACAGTTATTAAAAAGAACTTAAAACCTTCCTTTTTAGCAGATTTTATTATTCCTAATTTTTTGCTTTATAGCTCTTTTTTTAGATTTTTGAGGTTTTGTAGCACTTCTCTGAAAATGTAAAGTGCGTTACATTATATTATTATTATTTATTATTATTATTATCTAAAAAACTTCTTCACAACAGCTTACAAATGCATAGGCTACATTTAAGGTGGATATAACATAACAGTCCTGAAGGATGCTGAGCGCAGAAAATCCACGTGGCTTCCCAGCTAAGACGAAATGTTCCCAGAACTTTCGCTAATGTTATCTTTTCAAAGCTGACACAAAACGTTCTTACTGTGACGTTAATGGAACATTATTTCCACGTTCTACATTGTAACAACGATTCAATGTCAGCACGATGAAATTATTACCTGACCATCCTTTTAATGCAATTAATTTTGAAATATTGTTTTAAGATAAAATATTATTGAAGGCATATAAAAGTGCTATGTGTATATATAGCAAATACATCTTCCATCCTCGAACCCGTGATCTACCATGAGCATCATTAGCATTTATATTGTTAGTCTTAGTTGTAGTAGTGCAGTAATGTTCTGGGGACATAAGGAAAACTGGACACTAAATATTTCCATACCTTAACCGTAACGTTCAGTAAACGTCCCTAGAACAAAAAATCGTTAGCGGGGTTAGAGCAGCTGGCAAGTTCAAAGAAGCGCTCACTTCCCACCCAGGTTCTGTTTAAAAAGCCCGCATGAAATGAACTTTTCTTCAATGAGTCTCAGCGAGGAGGCGCTCAGGGCCAAAGAGTAAGTGGAGCGGCTGAGACGGGTTAAACGCGGCGGTCAGCCGTGACATCATGTGCCGGGGCTGGGCTGGCAGCGGGGCGGCGGGACTCCGGCAGGAGCGGACACATCCAGAGGAGCGCAGCTGGAGACGGCACCGGGATTACGCTTACCGACACCGGGTCCGGGAAAAACTAGCTGGGTATTAAGGTAAAATAAATAAATGAAACTGATTAAAAATCCGTAAAGTTTAGACAAATCCAGCTCCTTTGCATTATAATCACTAACCGCTTCAAGTGTTTAGAAAGCGAAAAAAAACTTTAAATTTCGCAACTGGATTGTAACATGTAATAAAACGCAAATAGAAATATTTTTTGCGGACTGGTTTATAATAATAAAAAGGACAGGAGGAATATAGGGATACGGTGATTTAGGAGGAGGGAAGCAGGGTGTCGGTCCCGAAACAATGAATTCACAGAAAGTGATGAAGGAGGGAGTGCTGGAGAAGAGGAGCAACGGGCTGCTGCAGCTCTGGAAGACCAAGCGCTGCGTCCTGACGGAGGACGGGCTGCGCCTTCACGGCCGCCGGCGCGCCAGCGACGGGACGCTGGGCTTCAGCGCCGCCGCCAAGGAGCTGCGATTCGAGCGCATGGACGCCGTGGACTGCGTGGAACACAAGCGGGGGCTCATCTACTTTACCATCGTGATGGCTGGCGGCCGGGAGATCGACTTCAGGTGCCGGCAGGAGGGCACCGCTTGGAATGCCGAGATCGCGCTGGCGCTCGTGCGCTTCAAGAACCTGCTAGCGGTGCGGCACCGCGCGCCCCCGGGGGGCGCCGAGGAGGGCGGCTGCTGACGGCGGCCGGGAAGGTATGATGTCTCTGACACCTGTATGATGCCCGAGGAACATGCCAGTATCACAGTATATCGCGCCCTAAACCCGCGGTTTCTGGTATCGGTATTTCTAAAATCAGGCATCTTTTTGACAAGGTTGCACGTTTCTTTAATAAGAGCGCATCAACATAACCTCTGGTTGAAGCGCATTGTGTTTTTGGGTGAAAACATTTTATTGGGAATCACAAAGCTTGATGTATTTGCGCATTGCCCTAAAATTACAGCTTTCACATTGCCTACACTTCCTTTTAGATTGCCGAGCTGGGCTCCAAAACAACATCTGTTTCTCATTTACATGGTAGCAATTGCTCCATGGTACCGTTCAGACTATAAAAAAAAGTGTTTCTTTATGAAATTCACACGCAACGACTCATAAAGCAATTTAAAACAACCCCAAACGGCGTCTCACTGCGAGGGTAGGGGCGTCACATAGGACATACTAGCTAAACAGACACACTTTGCGCTCAGATGTAAAGCTGACGATCATAAATTGGTCAGGCAATATATATGTCAGACTGCCAAGTATGTCCAACTGAAATACCGAGTGAGGACACAAATAGTCCCTACATAGTATATGTATTTTGTTAACATAATTTATTTTTTGAAATATGAAAGATTATCCATGCAATCACATTTTAACTTACGTGTTCCTCCTCCTAAATATGTCAGTGTGTGTATAATTTGGCCAGTACTGCACTGGATTAATGGCTGGAAGGTGGAGACAATGGGTGATAAAACCATTAGCTATTTTCCTTATTAAACACTGTGAAAGGGGCTACACATCTTGTTCCCTGTGCCGTTTTTTTTTTCATTCCGCATGGTCTCTTAATCTCCAGCTGTAACAATTATCACCCTAAACAAGGACGAGGTACAATGTGTTTGAGGCACTGTGTTTCGAGGTTCAGGATTCAGTGTACCTTGTCTTTGTTTAGGGTGATAATCGATGGTACCCAGTAAAACCATGTAAGCGTGTATGACTGTATGTTTGTGGGGAGATTTCATGCAGGTTTTTTTCCTACAGTTATATTGTATGTGGTATTTTCCAAAGGCTGCTGGCAGCTAATCCTCTCTACAAAGTTCTGTTTTCTGGGCCAGATCCTCCTGAATGCTGTTAATGTGTGTTCCTTTCCCAGTCTCCTGTGCACTGATACTAATTCCTGTCATCTCGCAGGACACATTGCAGAGCTGGAACAGCAGGCGATAGTGATATTTGTGTTCTTCAGCACCTTGCTGCCTTGGACCTTAAGAGCACAGACAGCTGGGGTGTCTAAAAGCTCTTCCCTGGAATCATGTGAAATCACGCAGAACCAAAGACTAGAACCCTTTCCAGTGTCTGACCCTGTCATAGACCCTCGCGCAGACACCGGCACACCACGGATGTAGAAACACCGCATCACGGAGAGGCAGTACCTGTGGCATCGAGTCCACATTCCTGGCTGACGAGCATCTCAGATCACACAGCATTTCTTTCATCCTGGCTGAAAACTGGAGTATTTTGAGTTGCTTTGTCTCACATACAGCAAAATGTGTCCGTTTTGTGTTTATGAATCCCGGAACTCACATCTTACACCTTAGAATTGTTATTTTATGTTATTCTTTTGACATCTTTCTTGTTTTATTTTACATATCTAACGGCAATCAAGCCCTGGGACATTACAGGCGATGTAAGCAGTTAGCGGCAGGGAGGCGGGGCAGGCCAAAGCAGTGAGTCACCCCACGTTTTTATTGGCATGAGTGAGACCCTTTGGCTCAGGGATGGAAACCAGAGAAGGACGGCCTTTCAGCTCAAGGGCTCCTTGGCGAAAAAAGCACCTGTGGTCTTTCTCAGAACGGAAAATCGGATCACTTGGAATTTCCTGGGATTCCGTCCGGGTCATGGTCAGACGTTCAATTAATTTGCTGTGAGCCCCACCCATGAAAAGTGTCCGACAGATGCGCAGATTGGGAAATATCTGTGTCAAAGACCACAGCGTAATGTCTGTGCAAGCAACCTAATCAAAACCCAGAAGGAGATTGAGCAGGAGGAGGCGACACAGTCATGTCACTCTCACCAGGGTTTAGGGTGAGTGTAGTTATACGAAAGAACCTGCTGTTATTGATTTTATCAAATTTGTTGTCTTTGAAGGAGAACTTTATTCCGGTACTGCTTGGGTCATCGTGGCTTCTAGTATAGCTGTCCAATTTACAGGATTCCCTTTGAAGTTCAACAGTGAGAGAAGGTTCATTTCCAGAATTCAGGATGTACAATCATACCCCCAGAAGAGGCTCTATCTATGATGAAAGAGTCTTACTATGCTACTTGTTTGGAAGTTGTCAAAGTGTATTTCTTGCTCTTGTTTTTCTAAATGATACTTTTTACCTTTAATGGACCGTCAGTGTTGGTCTGCTTATTTCTTGTGTTTTAAATGAGGTATCAATCTCTTGCACTTACTATGCATAAGTTATTATATGTGACAAGCTGACATTCTAGTGTAAAGTAGCCGGTGAACCATGATTCTCGTGCGTCATCCTTCTGAAACTACTGTTTAGGATTGATTTCCAGTGAAGGGTCTGTGAGTAACTCCAAGAGGAGCAGTGAATTGAAAAAAAAGTGTGATAGAAGCTTTGCTAGAACTACACATTTAAAACTGAGAGTATAAAATGAGTATATGTAGTACAGTGCAAAAGTCATAGGCAGCCAAAGAAAATGATGATTAAATGATCTTCATGTTGGTGTAAAACTGTGATATTATGCCTGTCAAAGTGTGTCAGCTTCGCCATTTCAAACCCTCTGCTAAGGTCACCCCAGTGTTTGCAGCCCCCATCCAACACACCCATGTAGTTTCTGACTCGACCTCTAGCTCGCCTCCTATAGCTAATCAGTACGACATTGACTTTATTAAACTAATTAAATTAATTAATTAAAATGAGCTGGTGGTGAAATGTAATAAATACATGGAATGACTGAGGTGCCCCTGAGGAGGTTTGGGAACTGAAGCCGTGTTCATCTAGGCATCCAACTCGATTTCAGTAACTTTTTGGAAAATGGAAGAAATTCTAAATAGTTTTCCTTGTGTTACTCTTAATTTTTACAAGCTCTAATGCTAAATTGTGTTTTTTGTTCTGAGCAAAAGAGCACTTACTACCCAGACAAATAACTGTAAACATTTCTTTTGACTGCTTAAGACACTGCATGTGTCATGTTGATGCAACATCTACAAAAAAAGATATGGTCAAATATTGTATCAAAAATGCACAGTCAAGTTAGGTGGTTTTATCTGTCTTCTGAAAGGATCGTCTTTTCCATTTAGAGTTTGGTACCTGGATTCCTGCTTCAGGCCCATTGTTATAATACAAATAAGCAACAAAATACCTCAATGAATCAGTTCATCATCTCACAATGAATTCATTAACATCTGTGCATTATATACATACATGCCACGTGTCTGATGACTACACTTGATGGTGCCGGGTTCAAACCTTATTATTTTCGGGTTCTACAGAAGTCATTTACAGATGTTCTTACTGCAAACTGCCTCAAGTCGTCTTAAGATGCTTTCATGCATCCTCTTAGTAATGGTGACTAGATTGCACTTGCATGCTCTGGTTTCTGGTGGTTTCTAGCTTTTTTATTACAAACTTTTAGGATATAAATTGGGATATTATTGTGTCATGTGAGAAGCCCCTCTTAATAGTATTCTGATGCTTGTGGTTGCCCATTCAGGGTGGGGTGGTCTCATTTTGGGGTGGTCTCATTTTGGGGTGGTCTCCCACAAATGTGCCTGGTCTGCTTGTATTTGGCTCTCCTCTCTGGCCTGTATGATCCTGTACTGATGTGGTGATCAGCCGGTGGCCATGACTGAAGACGCAGAGCATCGGAGATCCCATCATCGCTGTGGCCTCTTCTTGGTGGCGTGGGCTGGACGATGGCCCCACCCCTCTCAGTCCTTCTCTGGCCCCTAACCCCACAGCCTGCTTATAATGAGCTAATTGTGTGCTGCCTGGAACGCCCAAGCCCCCCCTCCCCTCCACCGCCGCCATCACCACCCCCCCAGTTGGAGAGTAGGCAACAAAGCACCGTTCAGAGGCGAGCGATGAAGTAACGGCAAAGGCCTCCCCTCCGGCGACGGGGCTGCCTGGAAGCAGAGGATGAAAACATATTCTCTGGAATTCAGTGTCGGCAGATGCAGGGAATTTCATGGCTGGGAAACTGGGAAATATCAGAAGAGGTTAGAGTGTAGGCAGGGCGTGGGACGGGAGGTCTGGAGGGCGGGGCTCCAGACACCCTTTGCTTTCTTTAGCCTGAAGCTGGAGGGGCAAAATGTGATGCCATCGCGGGGTGGGTGGGTGGAGCAGGCTATGGACGCATGGAGAAATGTCAGCAACGTGTTTCGGCCCCAACCGCCCAGGATGAAGAAACGTCCATGCAGATCTTGGTGGTGGTGCAGATGTGGAGCATTACAGGATGGAGTGGGAGGATCTGTGTGTGTGTGTGTGAGGATGTGGGAGCAACACCTTGTGTAAACATCTCTAAAGGAAACAGGGTTCCTCCTAATTCCTCAAGCTCTGCATCTCTGCCCCTCTCTCAGCATCAGTGGATTGGACAACCCTCTCAGATAACATGTGATGATCATCTGCTGGCCGCCCACACGGCCCAGAAAGCATGATCTACTGAGAGGAACTGGGGCCACAGACGTATTTTTCTCAGAAGGAAGTTTAAAAGCCTCCCACGGAAATGCTGGGATGGATGGGTGTGATCCCAGGCGAGGCTCTGCGGTGGCTGGATTGCGCAATCGACCAAGCTTGAGCTTGAGGTCTGTTCAGCTGAGGTTGAGTAGATGACTGTGGAGTTTCCAAAATAATACAAGGTCCCCAGAAAAAAATGCTGTGAACATCTGAGGCATTAAAGAGAAAGATAAACTTGTTTGTCAAAGAGCAGCACTGTACTCCAGAACCCAGCAAATGTATTTAACAGGAACTGAAACGAAACCTCATTATCAGAACCCACACGGAGGATCTGTTTCGAAAACAGCGCTCCGAGATGTGGAGAGTCAGGAAGGGAAAGAGTCTGAGGAACAGGGTGTGGACCCCAGTCCGGAAGTTTATCAGCCCTGAACATTTGGGTTGAACATCTGACTTCCTCAGGATGCAGCATCAGGGTGCCGTGGAGGAGGGGACAGGACAATTTTAGCGCCCCTGAGTGACAGGGGCCCTAAAAAATTTGTAACATAATTGGATTGGTCTGGACTGGGAACTGAACATGATGTGCTTTCATGGAGTCCAAAATACCTAGTGGCTCCCATTTATGCTGTGCAAAAGAAAATCCTGCAGAATTTATACAGGCCATAAACCAGACTTCAAACAGACTCACGACACCGTTTAAGACACTCTGAATCAAAGATTAAATAATGTGCTTTTGTAAGGAGTATCTGCAAACACGTGAGTTTGGGCAGAGTTTGGGCAGGATGCCGCATTGGCGAGCAGGACTGCCGCCCTCGTGACCTCAGCCTGCAGGTTCGATCTCCTGTGCCTCAGTCTTATTTCAGCCACTGTCACAGGGAGGGGGGGGGGGGGGTAATTCCCAGTGAGAGGGGAGAAGGCAGAGAGGTTCTGACAGGGCACAGTGCACTGCTCAGCATGACTTTGTTAAAATATAACAAATACATCTCAACCAAGATAAATAAACATTCTGTAAATAGTTTGTGGACATAAAATCATTAATATTGAATAAATAATAATCAATGAAAATTAATAGAAGATAAAACATTGAGTTTGCTATTTCATTTGGTAATGGGCAACAGAAGTACACAGCAAACATCGTGTAGAAAAATCAGTCTTTAAAAATATTTCCAGTGATGTCAATGAATAGTGGAGGTCTATAACTTTAAGCAGATCTGTAAGTTGATTATTGTGAATGTCTTGCAAGCTTACAGCACCAGAGTTTTCCGGAAAAACCAAAGTCCTGCTTTTTAATATTTAATGTCAAAGGAGAGCAGCTCCATTGGGTTAGAAAGCAAACCCCAGACAGCAGTGGTCTTTACCACCACCCACACCAGACATTTGCCCCCTGTTGGCCACAAACAGCCACTACACAAAATATTAAATAGACATGTTCCTTATTTAGGAGATACTGAAATAGCATGTTCTGCTAGCCAGCTAGCTAGCTACCATCTTCTGACTCTACCCACTAGCTGTTGTGAAATGTCTGGGGGAGGGACAGGGGGTGAATTTTTTGAATGGGGCCCCAGAAATAAAAAACCCACCCTAGACCACAGAAGGACTCTGCATGGCCCCACTGTAAGAAAGGGTGGGGCAGGGCAAAGTCAGAGGGGTGCTTAGCTGGGGGTTTATACCCCTCGCCCCCCACTCAGGCAGAGTCCACATCTCCTTTAGCTAGCCAGATTAAACAGGCGGCATCCACATTGCTAGTCCGGACACCTTGGGCTTCACGTTCCGGACACGGCCGGGGATGGTACATAACTATTCACGCCACCTGCTTTCCCTAGCGGACAGTTCCGCCCGTAGATATTCACAGTTTGCCATTTTTGGGACCTTTTATTAAAGGAAGTGTTTCGGATTTAGTGCTTCCTTCAAGGGTACAGCAGCAGACTGTGTGTGTCAGGGTCCTTAAGGTGCCAGACACACGGGCTTTAGGCTGAGACCCTGGGTAATAAACATCACCTGGGAAATTAAGGTGACTGGGGGCCCAGGCGAGCCCCGCAAACAGCAGACACATTTAAATAGTTCCGTCTCATTTAGGTTTCAGCAGAGATGAATTAGGCTGAAATCTTCAAGGCCAAGTTTTCACTAACTTTGCAGCTTTATGACTCTGAGAGGTTAGAAAGCATGATTGTCAGTCACATGGTGCTGAGTCGAAGCACAGTGATGTCACCATTGGGCCCCTGAACATAGCCCTCTATGCTTTCTTAAAAAAATATTACGTCACTTTTGGATATAGGTAAATAAAATGTAAGGCTGACTAAAATGAAACTGATTGATAGGGGGCGCTGTGTTTGGCCACCTCCCCCAAAAATGCCCCCGTGTGACACCCTGTGGCCCTGAGCTCCGCCCAGCCATGATGAGCCTGCGATGCTGCTCATCAAATGAATCAAAATGAGCCCTAATCAGCTTTAGCCCCATGACCGAGATGGCAGCTCGTTTGTCAGGTAACGGGCTGTTTCACAGCAATGCATCACAACATCATCTCAGGTTCTCCTGTGCTGTCGAAAGTCCTACTACTAAAACGAAGGATTCCACTGCTAACATGCTAGCTTGAAATGTAAGCACATCAAATTTTCTCAGATGGTCTGCTAAATTAAATTTAGTTGTTCTTACCAATCCATTGATCTACCAGGATATCTGAAGATGAAGAACTTCTATCCTAGCAAGAGACTCTGTGACTTTCCCTGGCTACCGTACTTCACTTTGGGGTGTAACTTTTAACAACCAGACTCCAACCAACCAGGCTCTAGACACAAGATTTATCTACAAACACAGGCGTTTATCGCAAAACAGGGACATTCCAAGTTCCTGTGACAGATTGGTGTGAAGAAGCCAGACCAGCCCACTGTGAAAACTCCCCAGAAGGCCTGCTGACTCGCTGTTGTAATGTTATTTGTTAATCCAGGTCAGGCTTACCCCTTAGATCTGCTTGATGGGCCTCGGACATACTGGGCTGTGACTCTGAAACGCCCTATTCACAGATTCAGCTCCTTATGAATTCTGTAAAGAGAGGATGACCAGAA